GTGAGTCACTGAGCTTTTATGAATCCTTCAGCCTTTTTCCCCCTTAAATAAATGAAAGAGACCTGCAGAGCAAATCATCACACGGCTGCGTTCTCACACGGCTGCGTTCCCACACGGCTGCGTTCTCACACGGCTGCGTTCTCACACGGCTGCGTTCCCACACGGCTGCGTTCTCACACGGCTGCGTTCTCACACGGCTGCGTTCCTACACGGCTGCGTTCTCACACGGCTGCGTTCCTACATGACTGCGTTCTCATACGGCTGCGTTCTCACACGGCTGCGTTCTCATACGGCTGCGTTCCTACACGGCTGCGTTCTCACACGGCTGCGTTCTCACACGGCTGCGTTCCTACACGGCTGCGTTCTCACACGGCTGCGTTCTCACACGGCTGCGTTCTCATACGGCTGCATTTTCACACGGCTGCGTTCTCACACGGCTGTGTTCTCACACGGCTGCGTTCCCACACGGCTGCGTTCTCACACGACTGCATGCTGCAGCTGTCAGTCGCATTAAAAGGCACAGAACGATAAGCTCAGCTTTAGTTTGCTCCTCTGTTTCTGCTGATGGTGAGAAGGTAGGTTGTGTTCACTCTCCGGCTCTCGTTACTCGCTGTGGTGTTCCGTCATCTGTTGAAGATTCAGTGCTGTGATACTAAAGTCTTCCACAGCGCTCCTGCTTTTCTGCCTGTGTTTATCCACCACTATGCTAATGAAAGGGATGTTCCTCATTTCGTAACCTTCATTGAATTTATTGAGGGATTAATTAATGGATACTGTGGCGTGTGCCCGTCCACTGGGCCCCGATGGCGGCCGCCAGAGCCAGCAGGAAGGCGGGGCCCGAGCTCAGAGCATGAACGAAGCCCGATGAGGACGGCAAGAGAGGAACAGTGCGAGTGAGAGGGGGACGCGCCCGAGCCCCAAGCCTGCAGTGAGGCCACGTTAATTAGCCTCACATTTGATCCAGGCAGACGAGCTGCGAGCAGGGGGTGGTGACGAGGAGGCGGAGCAAAGCTCTCGTTCCCTCTCGGTGAAGCCCGGGCTTTGTGCTCCGTCCCCCGCTCACTCGTGGTGTTCCTCTCCCCGCCGTCCTTGTCGGCCTTCATCCCCAATCTGAGCTCGGGCCCCGCTTTCCTGCCAGCTCTGGCGGACGCCATCAGGGCCCGGTGGACGGGCACACACCACAGATACATTCTAATTCAGCCCACTAAAGCTGCTTAAGCATAGACATAGACGCTGCGTTGGCTGCTTCGGCCTGTTGCTGCGGTGCATCAGTGCATCCACCGTATTGGTCGGGGCAAGACTGGCCTGTAAACAAATACAAGTAAACAAGGTGGCTGCATTTTTTCTGGATAAAAAGCACTATAACGTTTATATTTCTCAACTGATTTCACTGAGTCGATTTTATATTCATATATTAAGTTAATGATGTACATGAAGTGCAAAAAAAAAGGTTTTGTCTCCAGAATCTCCACAGTTCTGAGAGGAGTGTGTATTAGCATTAGGCTCACATGAACTGAATTAATAATGTGGTGGAAATAACTCACTGTGATAAGGAATTATAAACTCATGTTCATCAAGCATGGGTTTCTTGCTTGATACTTGTGGGACGTGGCTGAAGTTCTACTTTAAATGAAGCAGTAGGTACCTTAATAGTGCGCCGGCACCGGAGCGTAACTACAGCGCCATTTAAGGTGGAACGAAATATTTAAATAAGAAGCCGGCGAATATGAAGCCAACTTCACTTTTCCGTCTACATCCCCATCGTTTCGGCTTTTCTTGTTCTCCTTCACTATGAAACACTGGAAAAAAGAGTCTGTAAGTGCTAATATTTGACTAATTGACAGAAAAAAAATCCCCTTCTTAAAGCTGCTTCCCACTGCTAGTCAGCTAACTACAGTCAGATTCATCATATGTAGAAATGTCAAAATATTATTAATCATGCAACCTTAGTGTGGTTCTGTATGGTTCTGTATGCCTTTCTCTAAGTATGTGTAAGTCTGTTTTGCTAAATATGGTTTAGAAATGCACCTGGTTCTGTGTGGTTCTGTATGTAGTTTTATACAGATATGTAGGACTATTCTTTTGCTAAATAGGGTCTAGAACTGTCCCGGTTCTGTGTGGTTCTGTGTGTAGTTCTGTGTCTAATGCAGGACTGTTCTTTTGCAGCAGCTCTAACTCTCAGTATGCTCCTCTAACACAAAGACTCCACGCTGTGATTTAAACCCACACACACCAGCTGCCTCACACACACTGCTGCCAAATCACTCACACACACACACACATTCACACGCACACACACACACACACACACACACACACACACACACACACACTCTCACACACACACGCTCACACACACATTCACACACACACTCACTCACACTCACACACACATTCACACGCACACACACACTCACACACACACATTCACACACACACACACACTCACACACACACTCACTCACACAGCAGAGCAGCTTCAGCATCTCCTGCTTACAGTACACCTTTGAACATCTCACCACCTTCCATCACCTCACCGTCACCATCATCTCACCATCACCTTCACCATCAACACCATCATCCCCTGTTCTCTCTCCAGTCCATACAGTCCCCGTTCAGCCTACAGCACTTAAGCCCCATCCATTTAGCCTACAGCACTTTAGCCCCTCCCATTCAGCCTACAGCACAAGCCCCACCCATTTAGCCTACAGCAGTTTAGCCCCACCCATTCAGACTACAGCAGTTAAGCCCCACCCATTCAGCCTACAGCACTTTAGCCCCAGCCATTCAGCCTACAGCAGTTTAGCTCCGCCCATTCAGCCTACAGTAGTTTAGCTCCACCCATTCAGTCTACAGTAGTTTAGCTCCACCCATTCAGTCTACAGCAGTTTAGCTCCACCATTCAGCCTTCAGCACTTTAGCCCCACCCATTCAGCCTACAGCAGTTCAGCTCCACCCATTCAGGCTACAGCAGTTTAGCTCCACCCATTCAGTCTACAGCAGTTTAGCTCCACCATTCAGCCTTCAGCACTTTAGCCCCACCCATTCAGCCTACAGCAGTTCAGCTCCACCCATTCAGGCTACAGCAGTTTAGCTCCACCCATTCAGCCTACAGTAGTTTAGCTCCACCATTCAGCTACAGCAGTTTAGCTCCACCATTCAGCTACAGCAGTTTAGCTCCACCCATTCAGGCTACAGCAGTTTAGCTCCACCCATTCAGGCTACAGCAGTTTCGCTCCACCATTGAGCCTTCAGCACTTTAGCCCCACCCATTCAGCCTACAGCAGTTTAGCTCCACCCATTCAGTCTACAGCAGTTTAGCTCCACCATTGAGCCTTCAGCACTTTAGCCCCACCCATTCAGCCTACAGCAGTTTAGCTCCACCCATTCAGCCTACAGCACTTTAGCCCCACCCTTTCAGCCTACAGCACTTTAGCCCCACCCATTCAGCCTACAGCAGTTTAGCTCCACCCATTCAGTCTACAGCAGTTTAGCTCCACCATTGAGCCTTCAGCACTTTAGCCCCACCCATTCAGCCTACAGCAGTTTAGCTCCACCATTCAGCTACAGCAGTTTAGCCCCACCATTCAGCTACAGCAGTTTAGCCCCACCCATTCAGCTACAGCAGTTTAGCTCCACCATTCAGCTACAGCAGTTTAGCTCCACATCAGCTACAGCAGTTTAGCCCCACCCATTCAGCTACAGCAGTTTAGCCCCACCCATTCAGCTACAGCAGTTTAGCTCCACCATTCAGCTACAGCAGTTTAGCTCCACCATTCAGCTACAGCAGTTTAGCCCCACCCATTCAGCTACAGCAGTTTAGCCCCGCCCATTCAGCTACAGCAGTTTAGCTCCACCATTCAGCTACAGCAGTTTAGCCCCACCATTCAGCCTCTATTACGAATACACGGATTAAGGAACTCTAGAACTTAATGCTGCAAAGCTTTAACCATCACTGTAAATAAATAACTACTACATAAAGTTAAGATCCTGAATAGACTATTAAATGAAATAAGCTTCATATAAAACCAGAGGAAAAACAATCACATCAACAGGTTCTCTGTGCCTCATTAACCACACGGCCATATCTACACAAACACCACACAAACAATACACATCACACAGACATGAGTGTGGATCACTGCGTTCCCTCCGTTATATAATCCTATCCCTCTTTCTGAGTGTGATATTCCTGAAATAGTGTAATTTCGGACAGTATCTTTCTTAAACTGCCGCTCTGTAATGGTACTGAATGCAGTCCAGCAGCGATGCTGACCGCCCTAAAATGGTGGCACCGTTACTTTAAAATAAATAATTTATTTTGTCAGGGACCCCCAGGGGTCCAAGAGGTTAATCAGACCCCAGACTCCCTCAGATCCCACTGTATTTCTCCCCCTGCAGCCGAGGAGTTTCACTGTGATTCTCAGCGCCACAGTGAGTTTATTATGACCAGAACACTCCACAAAACCTGCTCTCTCTCTCTGTTCTCTCCTTATCTCGCTCCATCTCTGTTCCTCTCTTCCTGTCTGTTTAAACACTGACTGAGAGACACTCGTTTATCACACAGGAGCACAGTCTCTCTATCTCTCTCTCTCTCTCTCTCTCTCTCTCTCTCTCTCTCTGAGTTAAAACAGGCCTCATGCATGATTTAGAATAAAAACATTTATCCTGTCTTCCCTCTTCTTTCTGCATTTCATCTTTTGTTCTTTCAGTATATTCCCTCACTTCTTTCTCTCTTTCTTTATTTGTTTCTCTGATCTTTTTGAGATGGCCAGATAGAGGAGATGATCAGGTGAGGAAGATGGTCAGATGGTGGGAATAGTCAGGTGGTGGTGGACAGGTTCAGGTGGAGGAGATGGCCAGATGATGGCGACGATCAAGTGGGGAAGGTGGTCAGATGGTGGAAATAGTCAGGTGGAGGAGATGATAAGGTGGTGGAGAGGGTCAGGTGGTGGACATGGTCATGTAGAGAAGATCATCAGGTGGTGGAGATGTTCAGG